AATCGATCCAAAATCGATTAAATCGATTTATTTACCCAGCCCTAGTCAAAATAGAGTTTCTTTTGCCTGAATTCATTCCTTCAATTTTTCTTGTTTGTATTCATTCCTTTCTTTTAAGTCTTTAGAAACAAAAGGAATTTGCATATAACTTTATGTTATAGTCTGTCTTATTACGTCATTTTAAATATTAAATAAGCTACTCAGTACCTGGTCCTTTTAACTCTTACTCGAGTAGAAACCTGTTGAAGTACTTTTACTTGACTACATTTCTTTGGCACTGTGACCACCTCTGTTAATGAGAAAAATTACAAGATGTAACATGTTCCCCTCCTATGCATGCATGCCACTGTTGTCGCTTCAGTCGCCAGATGGGGGGAACTTCTAGACTCTGAAATTAGCACCTTATGCTCCTTTAAAAAAAAAAAACTGCTGTTATATTATGATTGCTAAGGGTATCAACACTGAACTAGAATTACAGAGGCTGCAGTTAGTTTCATGTGTATAAAAAGTTTTTCATGTGTATGAAAAGTTTCTTATTACACATCCTTACAGTGTCGATAAATGTGGTCATTACTGTAGCTAAAACAGGCTCCTAATTATTCACACACATTCACATGGATGGTGGCATGTAGCACAGTAACCTTCCTCCAGACATTTGAAGCCCAACACATCCTCTGACTGCAACCTTTTCTCACAGATCGGCATGACGCTCCAAAGGGCTCTTGTGGGTCACTAAAGAATTGCTCAACTGGGGCTTCACTTTTCACAAACTGCTGTGCATACGTCAGCTGACCCACAAACATGCATTAAGGGTCACAACTTCAACAAAAAACAGATATCCTTCCGGAAAGTGGAGAGTTCAGCTGAAAGAAATACAAATCTCAAGGGCCCCTTCCTGGAAAGCTCTGCTAATTGTTCTTGTTGTCACTTATCAGTGGTTTTTCCTTTTTTTTGTGTGCTCCTAATAGAGTCATACAGTACAGCGTGTATTGATTACTCTGGACTACACAGAGGCTTTACATCACAGCTCAAAAGAGATGTCCATGAAAGAGTTAAGAGCCCAACAGAGTGTTGAGAAATCCACATGGTGTTTGGAGAAAACAGCCCAACACGATTGTTCACAGACCAAATCATGAAAGGTGACCGAGAAGGGAACTGATTATGCAACATACTGAAACACCCCTAATAACCAAATCTCCTTATTGCATTCCTGATATTTCCAAACAGTCGGTCTTTGTAAGGAGGGATCAGAGCTTACAGTGAAGAGTTTATGCTGCTTAAGTCATCTGTCCTTACCTGAACTGATAGCACATTTGCACCGTTTTACTGTTTTAAAATTCACTGCCTCCCAAAAGTATTCACACATTCTCTCACTCTACAAACAAAACTGCACTTTATCAAAGTGAAGCATAACTGTAGCTGAGGATATGGTTAAAAGACGTTCTAGGAGTAAAAATCTAAAATGTGCCAATAACCCTTAATAAAACCTGGAGTAACCAGCTTTCTTTCAGAAGTAAGTAAGATAGAATAAAGTCTTCCTATGCTAATTTATTTAATCTCAGTAAACAATTATTCATGTCTAGTAGGAAGTGGCAGACGGAGAAAGCTGATGACAGCGTCTAAAGACCTGCAACAAGACACCTGATGAGTCAGCTTCTACAGTAATGCATTTGTTAAGGGATCCGTGTCTGAACTCCAACATGATCGCTGGGTGTGACCGCAAAGCACCAGAAAGCACTCTGAACCCAGCTGGACGGGGTTGATGGGAAATGGATGAATGTAAATAATGAGTAATCCCAGAGGGATAATCTGCTAGAAACAGTTAAAGACTTGAGGTTAGGATGGAGGTTCATCTTCCAATAGGAAAGCAACCCTAAACATAGAGCCAGAGCTACAATGGAACGGCCTAGTCAAAGTCCAGACTTGGATCTAACTGAAAATAAGGATACAATTAGATGGAGTTTAAGCTCTTTTGTACGAACAATTTGAAATTCAAAGTTTACCTAATTTAAATGTTACCTGCTTTATCTGTATAGACATTATAAAGACCTAATGCTGAAGTAGAAAAAAGCTAGACAGCATTTCTGCGAAGAAATACTGAACCTTCTCTTACCGTAGATCTTCGATTTCATTACATTTTTAAGTAAAATGTTTCTCAGAGAGCCTTCTGCTGTGATTGAAATACATTCAAACCACTGATTCTCTTTTATCCTGAAGCTAAAAAAAAATCTATGTCCAACCAGTCGAGCTATCAGTTATATCCCACCTGGTTTGAAGGTTTTAACTGTAGAGGGTCTCCCCAGTGCGTGCTTTACCAATATGTCCAAACTGTGACCATCAGGTCCCCAGGCTAAGATAAAAGGAGGGTGACTCAAAGTTCACACAGCAGCATTGTCTCAAGAAATAGGAACTATTGACCTGCCGGCATATTCAATAATTCAATACATCACTGGAAGAGACAGGTCTATATAAATAGCACGTTTTTTCATGTGCATTGTTTTATATAAACAGTTAAAAAAAGGCTTTGGTGTATTTTTAACTCTGCCCACAGGGCTGAAATTATTCCTTTCCCTCCAAAGTCTGCAGACTGCAGCTCTTCTGCGTGCATGAAAAAGTTCCAGCATGATGATTACACAGGCTAATCTGTAATCCCACTGGGCATAATGGGCTGCTTAAACTGGCTATTAGGGGAACAACTCAGCTTGTTTATTATCACTTGCTTCTATGGTCTTCTATGTTCTGATATAAGTGTCTGGACACCTTTTCCATGTTAAAACCACAAACTTCTAAGTTTCAATAAAATTCTAGGATAATATTACAACAAAAAACAAGGCCTAATTATAAGTGAAAGGAAGTAAATGCGTAGCTTTTTTTTTTTTTTTTTTTTTTTTTTACAAGAAAACAACAAAAATGAATGTTTAATAATGCTGATTTCCCAGAAACAGAACTTTGTAGAATGAGATTACAGAGACTGAGTGGATGGAGATTATGAAATTAAACTACTGAGTTTAATTTTTAAGCCTTACCAGAAAATAACAGCTGGATGGAGATTTGGACTTTGACTAGGCCGCCCGTTCTAATACATGATTTGATCATGGCAATACATCATGATACGTGGTTTGATCACCAATCCGTTCAGCAGAAGCCAAGAGCGGATTTTTAACCCTGGACCCTCATCTGCCTGGTTTAAAAAGTGACTCTATGGATCTTTTTAGTGCAAGATGATTTGAGACAGCGCAGAAGCTCAATAAGTGTTTACTGACTTCTGACAGAGAATACAAAGATGTTTATTCTTTGCAACAACTCCTCCTACTAATAGGTCTCTTTTCAGTTTTCTTGGCCATTTACTTGTCCCACAGAGACAGATTGCAGGAGGAACCTCATCTTGATACCGTTGCTCTGTAGAAGTGCAACGTTAAAGCTGGAATGAGGCTGGAGTTTCACTTCCACAGTGCCACACAGAACATAGAGGATTTATTCAGTTTTGTGGTTTTAACAAATTTTTTTGTACTGTGTCAGATGAAGGACAACTACAATTTAACAAGCTCCTCATTTAATGATTTTTAGCTGATACTTGTTTTACATCAATATTTGATTCTATTGTTTGAATTGTGTAAACAAAGTGTTGTTAAAATCCAAAATCCAGTTTCTAACCACCATGTTGAGGAAGTTATCCCTGGAGAAAAGACACACCTTCTCAACAGCTCTCAATCACGGCGTAGGTTAGTTACCAATGAAACGATCCACAGCGGCTGAGAGACAAACAGTTCAAATGTAGAAAGGATGTCGCTAAAAAAACATTTTCTCAGACGTTTTTTAACCTGACTTACACCATGATGATGAAGCTATCAGTTCTAAATGTAATAAAAAAAATAATAAATCAACACCCTGTATCTATTCTGTGTAGTCCATCTATTTCCATAGTGAGACAGAAAGCTATGCTACAAACAGGAAGTGGAAAATAAAGCAGACATGCAGTGCAATAGGGAAACAAGGGAACCAAAAAAAGAGACAAGTCTACTTAAACGTTTGAAAAGAATCTTTTGAATCCTGATTTTCTGTTCCTCCTTTTATCCCCTCTAAATGGTGCTAACTTGGGTCCAGAGTAGCAGCCATGCACAACACATATAACGACATCTTTAAACCCACAGGGCTGTCATACCATCCCCTTTCTGCGTTCTCCATGTTCCTCGGTCTTCATGATGCTATTTGATCACAGACATCCTCTAATGCAGCGTTTTTAAACCCTGGCTCTCAAGGCACACTGGCCTGCATGTTTTAGATGTTTCCCAGCCTTTGCACTAATATGCTATCAATTGACAGCTTATTATCAGGTTTTCTGAACTCCAATCATCTGAATCAGGAGCGTTGAAGCTGAGAAACATCCAACACCTGCAGGGCAGTGTACCTTGGTGATGAGAGTTGAAAAACACTGCTCTAACAGACCTCTGAGGCCTTCACAGAACAACTGAATTATAGCAACATTAAACAACTCAAGAAAGTAAAAAGGTGATGCTGTATTTGCATTTTATTTAAGGGTATCAGGGCAACTGAAACTGAACGCTGATCACATTGCTGAAATATATCTTTTATTTTTATCCGACTGGCATTTAACTTAATTAAAGTTTGTGGTTGAAAAGTGAAATTGACGGGGTACAAATGTTTCTGCAAATGCCCTGCAGGCTAAACCTTAGAATGTTTGTTATTATCAATAAGATGTCAGTTAGTTCAATGGTGTGTCTGCAGTGTGCTATTATAGCTGAACACCTCAGTGATGGCTATAAAAAACTATGAAAGGTAATGACCGCAGAACCAGGGGGCAGACTAATCGATATCATATCATGCAATATAAAGGAGGTGTCATCTCACATCTTACTGGAAACCAGAGGAGTGAAGGTTTGAAATCAAACTGTCAGATGTAGACGTGGAGGAGAGCTGGGCGTGAAAGTGTGTGGAGCACGTCTCATGCTGGAGAGAAGTCTGTGGCCTGTGATCCCTACCGGATAGCCCTCTGTTTTCTTCTGGCACCACTTCAGTAGAGCGTTTCTCTTAGATCCTCCGTACTCCCGCGCCAGAGCAGCCAAGGGGTCCGTTCTTTCCACACTGTCACCAGGGGAACACGGACCGCAATCAGAGGAGAGGGAGAAAGAAAGATGTCATCTGGGGTACAAGTTGCTCAATATTCAGTTCTACTCCGCCACCCCCCCCCCACACACACACACTCCCACACACTCCCATATATTTGTGTACGTGAAGGAAGCTTGCTAATCATAGCTGGTCTACTGTTGGTCTGACGGCTAAAATTATCCTAGATTAGAGCAGTGTTTGAACTTACAATGAAGCCATTGTACAAACTAATTTCATTTCTATGGCCCGATTAAAAAAACAAAACAAAGAACACCCAGACATGTTTCTTATCATATTTCTCCTGAAACTACTTTAAGTTTCACCTTTTTTTTCTCCTCCTTTTGTAAATTTCTTGGAACCAGAATAATAAAAGATAACAACCCAATGGATCACGATAAACTTACAATGTCATCTCTTTAAACAAGTTATCCTAAATCTAGTGCGTAATTAAAATCAGGTACAGAAATGTTAGTCTGCAAAATAGGGACATAAGCCAACATGCAGCTTAACAGAAAAACAAATATATTCCAACAGAAAACTATTTCATGCTAAATAATTAACCTATGACTGAATTTGGATGATTTTATAACAGAAAAGCTATTGATCGGTGATCTGTGTTGCATAGGAATAAATTAAATGACTATTTTTAACCTGATTTACATTCATGTGTGACAGTGTGGTTCCGTCACACATGATGACCTGTGCAATATGGGTGACTGGTCAGCATGCATGACTTTTTTTTTTTCATTGGGAAGCAATGCACATTACAATAGAGATGTGTGTCCATGTGCACATCCTTTTCACAGTAATTAACAATATGTACATATTGGCATCATTAAAATACTGTGCAACTCGAAGAGTTGAGAACAAGGCATACAATCAACCTCCTAGGGTGTTTATGTTAATTAAATGCTACGAACAGTACACCACACAACTGAAATAATAAAAAATTTAAAAAGTAGCATGCATGACTCTGAATCTCACCCGGGCCCTCTGCCCTAAACCTTGCCACACATGTATCATATAAATTCAAAGATTTAGCCTATTTTATAGCAAGTGAGCATTGCAGAAAAATAACTATCATTTTTGAAGGATTTTAATAAATTACTTGTCCATTTTAATATCATTTTAATATATAAAGATGGTTTAATTTCTTATCCAACCAGAAAATTTGAAGAAATCAAAGTGGGCAAATTTTCAGCCATAAAACCTGCGACTAATGTAGCTTTGAAAAAAGCGTTAGAAAAGCGTTAGAAAATAAACTTTATTTCTCCTTTTTTAAGATGCTATTAGAAACGATAACCCTGAAAATTAGGTCTGTCATAAGTAATCGTTTTTTGACTACTATCATGAAACAGATAGTATATGCAACTTTTTTCAGTTGTTTCAAATTGAAAAACCGCCTAAGTTCAGTATTTTAGCTTTGATAAAGTCCTTTTTTATGGCATGGGCCCCCCATCCCTGTGGTCTCATACTGATGTTTAGAGACACGATGTACAAAATGCACAGTTGCAAAGAAGAGAGGAAATAAATCATATGCATGATGGATGTCTATCTGTAGGATTATTCTAGGGATTTGCTCCCTGGAGGCTGAGGCCATGGGAAGAGCAGGAGACACTTTCTTTCCACTCTCCACGCTAAACATTTCACACGTCACTGCAGCCCTGCTGTTGAATTCATAGATAGTCCACTTGGCCCCATCTTCTTCACTGGTCACCCTGAAGTTTTCCTAGACATGGCTGCTGGCTGAGCTTTTAAGCCACTAAATGAGAACTCTGATCTTCTAGACTGGAATACTGACCCATAGCTTAGCTTAGTTGTGTTTCTCTCCTAAAGGAAGCCACTAAATGGGGTACTGCTGCCATTAATCTATTAATTTCTCCTCAATCAGTGTTTCTGCATTCCCTCTGTTTGTCTGCTTTGTCTCCTCAAACCCCCAGCATCGGCAGAAGGCTGGTCGATCCTTGTTCTGCTTGGGGGTTTTTCTTTCTACTGTTGCTAGTCATGGCCAAAAGTTTTGAGAATGATTCAAATATCAATATTTACAACGTCTA